TTTATTCCGAACGATATCGCAAGCGACTTGGAATCGAGGAAAAATTTTCTTTGCAGGATACGAATTTGGCCGACTAACATGAATCGCACAGCCCGGCCGGAAGCACCGTCGTCGTGAGGCCCGCATCGCTAAGGCGGCTGCCGTTGCTCCCCGTCCGGTCGACAAGCTGCGTCCCGTTGTCCGATGCCCCACCATCAAGTACAACCGCCGCGTTCGTGCCGGTCGTGGTTTCACCATCGCCGAGTTGAAGGTAAATTGAGCCGCATCGAAAATGGAGGCAATATGGAGAAACAACTTACTAACTCGAAATCTTTTTCGCGCTTTATAGGAAGCTGGTATCCCCAAGAAGCTTGCTCCCACCGTCGGTATCTCCGTTGACCACCGCCGCACCAACTACTCCAAGGAGTCTCTGGTTGCCAACGTCGCCCGTCTCCAGGACTACAAGGCTCGCCTGATCCTCTTCCCCCGCAAGAGCGGTCAGTTCAAGAAGCTCGACTCCTCCGCTGAGGAAGTCAAGGCCGTCAAGACCACCGTCGCCGAGGGCAAGCGTGACGGCATCGCCACCCGTGTTGAGGCCACCTTCCCCATCACCAACCCCACCGCTGCTGAGGCCGTTACCGAGGTCAAGCGCGACTCGCTCCCCAAGGGCGAGGAGGCTGCTTACCGTCGTCTCCGTGACTCCCGCGCTGAGGCCCGCTACAAGGGTATGCGCGAGAAGCGTGCCAAGACCAAGGCTGATGATGAGGCCGCTGCCAAGAAATAAATGTGTTAATTCCCTCGTGCTGATGATGATGATCGGGTCGGTTTTCGAATCCGGGATTAGTGTACTGTGGCATGGCGTTGCGCCTCTTCCTTGATTCCCTCTCTCCCTCCCCAACTTTACTCCTTTTTGTCTCTAAAAGAAAGAACTCGGAAGATCTCTCGAAATTCAAAACCGCCCAATTCTCTCAATCTGAGCTTTATGCCTGTACCTCTCGATGCTTTTTGTGGCTGTCCAGCTGGGAGTCCAGGCCCTTGAATCTTGGACTTCCAGCGACGACAACATTGAAAGCTTTTTGTAGTTCATTTCATTGTATATGTTGTAGCTTCGCTATGAATATGTCTTGCCTCGAGGATCAGTTAGATGGGAATGACAGTATGCAATTGCATGTATCTTTCTCTATGAACATACCGGAATCCAGTGACTACGAGTATATACCTATCTTCTAGCTCGTTTATGAAGACAGAAAAGTAGTTATTTCACAAGCCACACTTAAAAAAGAGGAACACATTAAAACTTGCAGTCTGAGCTCTGCTCGGGTATCTTCAGAGAACTACGCTAAATAACCATTCCAACGCCTAACGCTGACCATCATACCGGAATTATCAAAATTTCAAAAACCACCGAACAAAGCACCAAGAGCACCTTCAGTCGCCCTTACCACCGCATCAACATGGATACCACCCTCCAAACCTCGCGTAACCAAAGCGCCATCCTCACGCAGCAACGCATGGAAAAGCTTCTTCGTCTCCTGGTCGATTTTCTTATCTACCCCAGGGATCGACACGCTAATCTCAGGCCGCAGCTGAGGCTCTCCGGCCCACTCATCCAACACCAAAGTATTTGATAATAGTACCCGGGGACTGGAATCAGATGATTTAGGTTTGATGACCATGGCACTCCGATCCAAATGCGGGACCAATCGTCGCAGTTCAGATAGTGTGATAACACCGTTCTTGCTTTCTGGGGCAGTATCCTTTCTGCCCTGTTCAGCGCGCGGACCATACTTGTAGTCAATGTGTGCCCATAAACGAGAGCGAGTGATTGCGGATTCCCAGTACCGGTTGATACCCCAGCATAAAGTTGCCACGTCGAGTTTCAAGAGAGGGTTCTCTAAGCGGGTATCGATCCATCGGCGCAGGGTTTCGGGGACTTTTCTTTTTTTGCTGTCGCTGCCAGTAGGCACTGACAGGGAAGTCAGAGACTGGGTCTCCGGGTTTGTCTCGTAGACAACAGTCACATTGTATAGACTTGCTGGGAATGGAGATGGGGAGGAAAAGGTCAGTGTGTGTGTTTCTAACAGCTCTCCCCTACGTGACGACCGAGTTGTGCGGGTCTTGAGAGTTAAGGGTGCGAAGGCTGTCAGGTATGGCAGTGACTGAGAGGCTTCTTGCAGGGCAAATGGATTTGTTGGTAGCGATGACAATTCGCGTTTTGGGCGAGGGATATTGGCGGAGAACGGGAGTAAAGTGGCGAGGAGGGATGATATTGATTTAGGGGCCGTTTTGAGGACCGGGAGACTTGTACGATTCGCCTCTTCCGATGTGAGTAAAGACCTAGAGATTATCAGCAGTGTTCAAGCCAAATTTACTTCTAGAACTCACAGAAATTTGTCGAGTCCTCTGGCGTCGCCTTTCAAGTCAGCATCGGACTCCATTTTCTTTGCCCATGTTTCCAGTTCTTTGACTTCGTTTCTCAGCCGTCGCAAATCCGCAGCGCTCTTCTCGCGCGAACTGCGTTTCTCGCGAACAGCTGCGGAAATTCCACCCAGGTCTGGAGCTGTATCCAAATCCTCCAATGGAGGAGATTGGAAGTTTACTGCCTTAAGTGGGCTTTCATGCAATGCATTGGCAGTTCGTCTTTTCGCTCGTTTCTCCTGCCGCCTACTAGGACTGCTACTCAACATCCCTCTGGGTCGATCCGGAGCCTTTTCCAGACCTAGTTGTGTTGGCGTGGGGGGAAGATCGGGCTCGAGGATATCTTCATCCATGAGACTAGAGTCCGGACCCATATCCATATTAGGTTCTCTTGTGGCGCTGCCCAATTCCAATGCCAATTGACGCTCGGGGGTATTTGATTCGGGATTCTTTGGCTGTGGCATTGGGGACCCAAACACAAAATCTCCTGGAAGAATCCTTCTTGAAATCCTGCGTGGGGGTTTCGAGAACGCTTGAACACCACTTGAGCGCTTGTTGGGGGAACTTTCGGGCGCTTCAGAACCTGGAGGTCGAGTGAGGGGACTTGCAGAGGCATTGAGCGAGGGCCGGAGCGCTTTGCGATCGCGTAATCCAAATTTTCGAGGATCCTGTTGTGCGCTGTCTTTGCTTGCTGGTCGTCGGGCAGGAGACCTGCTGATTGCGCGCTCTAATAGCTCGGGGTGTGATCGTGCGAGACTGGCCTTTGTTGGAGACTGGAAGGAGGGTCGTCTCGACCGATGGGTGTCATTTTGAGGGAGGTCTGGCTCCACAGAAGTGCCTGTGGTCTCGCTGATTTTCCTTTTTTTTCGCTGGGGAATCCATTGTCGCGTGGGGTGTTCGTCTTGTCCGGCGCGCAAATGATGACCTCGGGAAGATAAACAATCGTCCACTTGTTTGCAGTGTTTGCATTATGACTTAATCTCCCCTCGTTAATGCACGAACATCTAGTCTTTTTCCAACTCATACCATGAAGTGTTTCTCGGTTGGTACAAGACACTCATTGCGGAGGTCTGTATCTCAACTCCGCTCTTTCCCTGGCAAAACATTTCCTCCAATTGCTTCACATCGACAATATGTGCTGGTTCCGACCCCCCGGCGCATGAACGGACATGGCCAATCGGACCAAACCGATTCCTATAATACTCCAGCTTCCCTGGAGGAAATCGCGGACACTCCTCAGGCCCACCCTCTGTCGGGATACTATTCATTGATATTGAAATCGGACTCACCATACGACGGTGGTGCATCGACATCGCGCCCGACGCCCGCTCGGCCCGAGGCCAAACCGACGCCGGCATCTACCGTCGCACCGCAATCACCGCAAGAAAAAATGGCGATTGTATTTGGCACCCGTCTCGCCGGTCCAGGCCGATCCTCGCGCTATAATCCTGGTGAAGCTCCTCCAGTGTCAACATGGAGAACTATCAACGGAGTCCCCATTCCTCCACAACCCGAGGAACCGGACAACTGCTGCATGAGTGGCTGTGTACACTGTGTCTGGGATGACTTCCGGGATGAGATGGAAGATTGGGCGTCCAGGATCGCAACGGCCAAAGCTAAAGGTGGGCCTGAGAAGGGAACGAAGGACATGCGCTCGGCGCCTCGTGCGGAAGTCCGCGCAGCCAGTGGAAGCATGGATGATGATGGCGGTGGCAGCGAAGCAAATTGGGCCCCACCAATTGAAGATAATGATCTGTTTGCCAATGTCCCTGTTGGTATCCGGGAGTTCATGAAAACGGAGAAAAGGTTGCGGGTGAAACATCAAAAGGAGGCTTCAGTGTGAGCTCTTTAAGTTGATGTTTTCTTGTTTTTTTTTTTATACCCTGTGTTATATTACATTGGAACAAATAGGGGAACCTATGTCTAGAGCACATCAGGCATAGTTAGTATATGGTATAGAGATAGACTGTACATGAGATGAGACCTTCAAGTGATGCCACGACATTTTATACTCTGTTCCAAAAGAAAGCGTTCAAAACTATTGTAATATGTAAATTTATGCAATTAGTTCAATCCTTATAGTATGACCGTTGAACCTCGAGGATGATATTTTGATAGCTGCATCTCAGTTTGTAGGTCAGTTTGTAGAGTGCCAAGATCGGAGCTAAGGGCGCGGTCTGTTTTTTTTTTTTCTTTTTCCCTCTCCATCTGTCTTTCTTTCTTTTTTCTTGAAATGAAAGAAAGAAAATCAATCATTCTTATTCGGGTCTAAAGGTAGTTGAGCTGTCCATTCCGCAGCACAGCTGAGTTGCTGATCATAACTTGACTCTTCCCCCTAAGCCCCGAGGCTATTCCGCTACTCTGCACTCTGCACTCTGCTACTCCATGCCATGCGCCCGCCTACCCCGGACTTCCTTCGTTAGGGCCGTGAGCCACCGATTTGCATAATGGCAACAGGTACCAGTGCCTGTATGCACTCCCGGAACATCAATAAAGGGTGTCTCTTCGTTCGAAATGAAGCCTGCTCCAATCCGCACCGGGGACTCACCCAGTCGAGATTCCCACCATCCTCACGAAACATACACACAATCTACTCAACTACCATGCCACTCCGATCCACCCGAAAGCTACACCTACTAGGACCTATCATTGCGGGCAATCGGTCTGCACTCAAAGGACACCGGCCAACAACGGGTGCTCACTATTCCACCTACAGTCCACCGCTGCTTGAGTCGGCTGTCAACAAAGTCGTTTCCAACAAAAGCCCGGCAGATGACTTGCTGAGCCCGCTACAACAATGTACCCCCGCTCAGGTCGCCACTGTACACTTACCGATCCAACGTAAGGTGTTGTCTACAATCAAAGATGCACGAAAGGTGCTTGAGTATGCCAATCGAGACATGCTTTGGGCAGATGCCTCTAGGAGGAAGAAGGAGTTGCAACCACGAATTGGTGGCCGTGCTCCCAATTATGTAGCGCAAGGAACTGCGATCTGGCTGCGATCCGAGCACAAGCTCGACACCTGCGACAGTCCAGAATCTCAAGCTTTCAAAGGAGAAGAACTTGAATTGCCCGTGAGACTATACACGAAGCAAATATTGAGTGTCATTAATAGCAATACATACAGCATTATTGATGAAGAGGTTGATTCTGGGAAGGCCATGCAGGTTCCTCGAATCATCGTGGAGGATGCGATCAATACCTCTACAGTATCTTGTATGGTTCTAAGTGTTCAGCTAAATGAATCAGAGACAACCAATATGAAACACAGAGTGGCCCACGACGTATCTTGGAAACTGGGTGGTACTACCTTTGACAGGCCGCCGCCCTATCACATTGCTCGTCTTCCTTGTGAAGCTATCAGGTATTGCTCTAGGCAGGAATTGCTGAGAATATTGAAAGATGGACCTTCTACCTTGAAGCAATTCTCCCACATCATACTTGATGACGTTCATTTCCGTGATCTCAATATCGAGGTGGGCATGATGCTTTTGAAACGATTTGTTGAACAATGCAAGTCTATCGGTGCATCTGTACCAAAGGTCGTTCTGATGGGCTCATTTCCTGATGTCAATGAACTGTGTTCCTATTTTGGTACCAAAACTACAGATGGCACACTTTTGCCTGCTCCTCATATGACTATTCCTAGGGGCTTCCCTGCGAAGAAGTATCATCTCAAAGAAGTAATGGCCAATATTACCCATTCTCTGACAACGGAGATCAGAGAGGCTCTCCTTCATGAAGACAAGGATACTCAATCCTTCCTGGCCAGAAGTTTCAAAAAGGTTGAAAAATCGGTACGCGTAAAAACCAAGACGCTTGTGAAAGAGGTTGTACCTCGCGGGTTGGTTTCTGCGACTCTTCTCTCGCTCTTGTCTACGACAAAAACAGGCTCTATCATTGTCTTCGTCCCAAGGTCAATAGATTTCATGAAAGTCACGGAGCAGATCACAACCTTTGGCCCAAAGCTGGGGTTCAATTTTGAGGATGAGGATCGTTTTAGAATAATTTACTTGCCTTCAAATCCGACAGCAGAAGAAAAAGCCAAAATTCAGCTTGAAATTCAGCTTGAAATTCCTCCAGGTTGCCGAAGAATTTTCATTTCAAAAGAAAGGAGTGAATTCACAATTCCAGACGTGAGGTACGTCGTTGACTCTGGCAAGTCAACGGATCGAAATTCGGCGGATATCAACTGGATCAATGGAACTGTCGCCTCACAACGGGCAGAGTGTACAGGCAGAGTCCAGGCTGGAGAGTACTACTTTCTTGGAACCAAAGTGCGGTTTAATTCCCTTCCAGTTACACCTACACGGCTACAGTCTATGACTTCTCGCTCAAGTATCCAACAAGCCTGTTTACATGTTAAGCGAGCGATCTCTGAAAGGTCCCTCTCGATCGCAGAACTTCTCGCGCAAACCTCTAAGCCACCTCGAGAATCCAAAGTTTGTGCTGCAGTGGATAATCTGAAGGAGTTGCAACTATTGGACGAACAGGAAGAACTCACCACTCTTGGTCACATTCTCGTCGATTTGAATATGGATCCAGCTTTGGGCAAGATGTTTGCTCTGGGCGTTATTTTCCGATGTTTGGACCCAATGCTGATCCTTGCGACTCTCGACCGGAACCCCGCCCTTTTTTCACCAAGGCCTTCTTCGCCAGGTCCAGGCGTGGATGCATCATTCGTTCGTTCGATCAACGAGTCAGGCTATCATGTAGCTGTCACCAATACCCTTGGGGCCATTCGACAAAGGTTGCATGCTCAGGAGGGTGAACGGGCTCCAGCTTTGGGAGATAAAGCCTCAGAAGACTATATGCTCAAGGTATATGATAAAGTGACCCCGAAAATTGGGCGAATTATCAGGAGATTGATCGCAGCCAAATTCATCCCTGCCGACAAGTCATTCGGTGATGGGGCCTTTTTTAGTTACGACGGCCTCAATATCAATTCCAAAAATGAGGCTCTTATCAAAACACTCTTGCTGCAATTCCTTTCCTCCAAGCTGGCCGTGAAGCCCTTTGGCTATACAGCCATCAAATTCAAATCCGGAGAGATCGTCGAAAGGGATCCCAATTCTTCCATTTCCAACAACTATATCATGGCCTACAACTTCAGATCGGCCGGCGCAAACAAGCGTCGGGGTACGATTCAAAAGACCCAGGTCGACCCACTGGCCGCCTGTGTCTTGGGGAGCAAGATAGAACAAGAAGAAGATAACGTTATCTTGGATTCGTGGGTGAAAATCAAACCACAAAAGGTGGGAAGCAGAGGAAATGAAGTTGCCAAGGACTTGGTTCAAACACACAAAGCCTTCGATGAGGTCAGTATATTCTTGTGGTTGATCTAATTCGTGTGCTAACTAACCATGGGATTCTTGCAGGCCCTTCGCACTGCCTTTAAGGTACTTCCTCGCCAGGGAATGGCAAGCTTCGACTCTTCAGCGGATTTGAATGCATATCGTGCCGCTCGCGGTAATTTGCTCGAAACCATTCAGAAATCACTGCAAGATATTCTCCATGCACATGATCCGCCGGCTCAGAGCACTAGGAAAGACATATGAATTACCACATGGATGCAAAGGACACACATATAGTTAGATGGAGAAGACATGTACAACACAACACATAACTACATAGTATCCATGTTTGTAATTATCTTGATAATAATATATAATTGTTGTCTGATTAGCCCAGGGCAATTGTTCAATATGGACATCGTAGACTATGACTCTTTTGATCGCCAAGTGAACACAACTCCAGAGCTTTTATGCTGTTGCATAAGATCTGGCTGTGTTTTCTGTGCAGAGTTTCATATTTTAATGGCCGCATAAAAGCGCTAGCTAACTATATATAGAGCCTGTCGGCGCTAGGTATAAAGTACATACATACATTAGCTTGGAATACCTGTGCAATGACCTTACGACCTCAACACTTGATACTTGTTCAAAATGTCTGAACTATGTCTTATGAATATCCAGGTGAATGTCGAGTCACCATCTCTTAAACAGGGGAAGCCTTCTTCTAGATCAAAAGTCAAGTCCTCAAGTCTACCAGGATCTCTATTTCGATCAAAAGCCAGGCCGTGGAACCTTGCACAGGTGCCCAGGCCCTTTTCCAACGGGAATATGTCCGTGAGCGGGGTCTTAATTGATAGCTCATTATGTTGTATAATGAACATATTTCGAAGCATTATTCTTTTATGTTACGCAGATGATACTAACGGGGAAGGATCAAGAAGAAGTATAAATATCCTCAAAATGGCGTGTAGTAGGTTCAAACTGAATATTTTCAGATCTTACGCTTGATAACCCTGATCATGACTACCATTCCTAGTATTTTGTCACTTTCAAACATTCAAGACTTCCCAAATGCCATTCTCAGTTTATTGAAGTTGAGCTTGGCCTTGGTATGTGCATATAGTTCTATCAGATTGTCTTCAAATGAAGTTTAACTAACCAAGGACATACTTCCAAATAGATCCCACTTTACCTTATCGGCCTCCTACTTTATAATGTCTATCTTCACCCTCTGGCCAAATATCCTGGACCAAAATCCATGGCAGCCACACGTCTACCTTATACCCGCATGATCCTGTCTGGTCAAATTGCACAAAGGACGAAAGCATTGCACCAACAGTACGGCAACGTAATTCGCATTGCCCCCGATGAACTTTCTTTTACAGATGGCGAGGCCTGGAAGACAATCTACGGCACACGTGTTGGCCATGGCCAGAAGCCCAAAGATTACCGATTCTACGCACCAACCGTTGAAGGAGCTCCGGGCATTATCGAATCTAATGACGCCGACCATTCTCGCTTTCGACGTTTGTTGTCGCACGCATTCTCCGATAGCTCACTTCGCGCCCAGGAACCTATAATCAAGGGCTATGTTGATCTCTTGATACAGCGCCTACATGAGAATATCAAGGGTGGCACAGATACCGTCGACATGCTGGCCTGGTACAACTTCACAACGTTTGATATTATTGGAGACCTCGCTTTCGGGGAGCCATTTGGCTGTCTTAGGAATTCAGAATACCACCAATGGGTATCTATCATTATGAGCACGGCCAAGTATGGCGCCTATACAAATGTGGCTCGACGTCTCCCGGGATGGAAATACATCGTCCCACTCATCACTCCAAAGCATATCATCCTGCAGAAGAATACTCACGTAGCCTTGACTAAGGAAAAGGTCCGGGGTCGGATGACCAAGTCTAACGAAAGACCTGATTTCTTCGGCAACATTCTGAAGCACCAAAACACCGAGAGAGGACTTAGCTTCCCGGAACTGATCTCCAATAGCAGTACTTTGATCATCGCCGGCTCGGAGACAACGGCAACTTTGCTGTCTGGCGTGACCTATCTACTACTGAGAAATCCACGCGTACTAGCAAAGCTCCAAGATGAGATCAGATCAACATTTGCAAACGAGGAAGAGATCACCTTGGAATCCTGCAATAAACTGGGGTATTGTCTGGCCGTCCTCACTGAGACTCTTCGAGTATATCCTCCTGTTCCAATTGGATTACCTCGTATCGTCGATGCTCAAGGTGATATGATTGCGGGAAACTGGGTGCCAGGAGGTGTAAGTACAGAACTAATTTTCGCCTACAAAGCCGTACAGCACCGCTTACACCACTTTTATAGACCACTGTTTCCGTCTCTCAATTAGCTGCCAGTCACTCCTCTGCCAATTTTACCGATGCAGGGGAGTTCATCCCAGAACGTCATTTGGATGACCCTCGCTTTGCGAATGACAGTAAAACTGCAATGCAACCGTTCAGTGTCGGTCCTAGGAATTGTATTGGACGCAAGTAAGTTCTTAACTTGTTCATCCGTTCATCTGTACTCGCTATTTGCTCATAACTATCTTTTTTTAGTCTGGCATATGTCGAAATGCGTTTGATTCTCGCTCGCATGGTCTTCAATTTTGATATGGAATTGGACCAGCCCGAAAAAAACTGGATGGATCAAGAAGTTTACTTCTTGTGGGACAAGCCAGAAATGATGATTAAATTAAAGCAGAGAGCTCATTTCAAATGATAGCACTGAGGCTACGATTCTGTGTTTGTGTATGAAGGACTTAACGGTGTTGAATCGTGATATCGGATGAGCTTGAACTTAGGGTTATACTATCATAGCAAACTATATTAGCAAAAGAATGCTCGGAATATTACCATGACCATCAATTCTTCAGCCTTAATCTATAATAATTAGCACTGAAGCATCTCTCACCTACAATAAGTCCAACTTACTCTCCATCTCATCCATCTTTATAGATCACCGCTTACCGCCTCCGCCATATCGGCAAAAAAAAAAGAGAGACACCGCAGATCCAAACCGCAAAGACCAACTCAAATGCACGAATAACTCAAGATCGAGCACAAATTAACCAAAATGTCGCTCTCGAAAAGCGAATCCGACGTAATCCTCAACCGAGCCAACGTCGCCCTATCCCGCAGCCAACGGCTCGTAGCCTCATGGCTACCACAACAAACAACAGAAGAACTAGCAAACCCCAAGACCGACGAAGAACTCCAACAAGAAGAAGATGAAATCTTCACTGCAGTGCCAGAGACGTAAGTGCTACTACTTCAGTCTTTCCGCTACAACCCAGACAGACATACTCCATACCGCCATCCCCCCAATTCCACAAAATATATATATAATATATAAATATATATACCCTGCAAACACCAACTAACCACATTCCCTAAATCAGTCTCGGCGTCGGAGCCCCCTCCCCCAGAAAGCAGCCGATGGAAGCTGGAACCGCACAGAGCTGGACTCGAACGATAAACTGCGCAAACAACTTCTCGGCAAGAACTACGATCGCGTTATGAAGGCCGCTGCCGAGCAGAAGGCGGCGGCTGCTGCTGCTACGGCCGCGGCTGCGGCTGCGGCTTCGTCTGCTTCGGCTGGTGTGACGAAAGCTGAAGTCGAAGAGGAGTACGATGAAGAGGATGGTCGGTCCGCTATGCTTGCTAAACAGAAGAATAAGAGGAAGGCTGGGGCTGGGGCGAATCGTGGTGTGCATCCTGCTGCTGCTGCGGCTGCGGCTGCGGCTGGTGATAAAGGTGGTGAGGAGGGTGAGGGTGAGGGCGAGGGTGCGCCGGCTCCTGCGCGCTCAAAGGGCAGGAAGAAAGCAACGAGTTATCTTGATGAGCTTTTGGCTGAGCGTGCGAAGAAGAGAAAGAAGAGGTGAGGATTGCGGTGGGTAGATTCGATTCTATGTTCCCACACGCACACGAGCGTTGCGCGAGCTTTCACATGGCTCCCGGTTCTTCTTGGGTGGATTAGGCTTTGATCTTGGTCACTCTGGATGCACCGGACACGGCGATTGGGCCTTGATTCGGGTTCTTGGGGTTGAACCCATGCTGCCACGGTGGGATTGCCTGCCGGCGCCCGAACTGTCAGCGACAGACTACAACGCAATGTCCCTTGGCTACACACGACCAGGCAAGACTGCATACATACTCAAATGATAACTCAACTGAGTGTCATCCTGTGCCATGTGCCACTCCAACAAGATACCCAACCAAAACGGTCTGCAGAAAAAAAAACATCATTCCAATTGATATAATCAAACTGCAAAATATAAAATACAATCCAATTCCAGTCTCTTGCTCTAAGTGCCACAAGATTCAATGAGTTTTTTTTATTTTGCTCCGCCCAACCCAAGGGTATATATAATATGATGTGTGTGAACGAAGTATGGGGACACGGAGATCCGTAGGCCAAGTGCCCGGGATTGGCGTGCGTTCGCCAGAATTAAATATCCAAAAATAGAAAAGATGGAAGGAGAAGGAGAAGGAGAAGGAGAAGGAGAAGAAATGGGGAAAGTGACATCTACAGGCGCAATTAAAAGGTTGAGAACAGAGCTGTGGACATTCTTCAGATGTATGGAGATGAGTGCCCTTTGCTCTAGTCAATGGTACATATGAAGGTCAAAAGAGCGGGAGAAGTAGAAGGGGGTGCCATAGCTTGTCGGTGGTGTAGAGAATTGATGAGAGAAGGAGAATGTAGTGCCACGATCAGTGAAAGGTGGATGCTGGGGATCTTCCAATGTTTAGGATTTTATTCCAACCGCTTCCGCTTCCGGTCCTCTGCCACTGCCTGCTGGTCCTCATCAGGTCTTTCAGCAGTATCGGCCGGATTGAGCAATGAATGCACATTGCTTGCCATGCTCGACCGACGGGTTGCGGGCAACGAAGAGCCGTGGGGGAATCTTGACCCGCCAATTGTCCAGCCGTTGTCGACACCGAGCAAGGATGGGGAAGGTTCGGCAGTGGGTGGGGTGGGGTGGCGGGATTGTTCTTGAAGGCGACGGGGAGCACCCATTTCGTATTGGGCGAGGACATCGCGGACTTGCTGGTCACTAGAGACCGGGGTCCGGTGTCCTGGTGATGAAGGCCAAGGGCCGTGTGGGGGGTTGCCAGGGGGTAGGGGGAAGCAGCCGAGGGGGACCAGCCGTGCTGTCGGATGTCCGCAGACGTGTGACGGCGGGCCAAGTTAGGCCCTGGGGATGTTGATACGGAGAGAGGATGAGGCATCGGTTGTTGTGGGGGCGGGGCGACGGGAGGTTGTGGGCGAGCGTATGCTGAGGCAGGATTGGCGCCGCCAATCGAGCCGTAGCGGCGAGAGGATACTGAGAGATGGGGAGGGACGGGCGGCCGGATCATGTTGGTGGGTCTAGGTGTATGGTCCATCATGGAGGGTCGACGGGCATCGTCCTGGGGCATCTGGCGCGGGGACAAAGGTGGACCGGCTTCAGTCATGTTGGCGAAGTAATGATGTTGCCGGGGAGGCATGAGAGTCTCGTGAGCGGGTTCGATAGCGCGCATGAATTCCATATGTTTCTCAACTTCTTTTTGCATGCTCGAGACTGGGGAGTGTCAGTGCGTGTCACCATGAGGGAAGCGGCAGTATTGACATACCATCGCGATGTAGAGGGCTTTCCCTATCGGGCACAACAGCTTGAAGAAACCGTGAAATAGAATGCGTCCACTAGAACCAGGTTAGCACCGATACACCCCGAAATAACATAGACGGCAGACATACTTGGTAGCACTTTGTCAGGCTGTCGGTCATAGCATGACATCTTGAATTGAGTGCGATATTGCCTTCCTCCGCCCGAGCCACACGAGCAAGCAGCTCGTATATGTTGTGCTCCATGGTTTGGAACCTAAGTTCGGTCGTATCAGTTACGGGTTCAGCGGGTGTTCCAGGCTGCGAAGCAGGAGGCTTGTGGCTAGGGAATGAATCGCGGTGGATCAAAGCGTGTCTCGAAGCACGGCGCTTGATCTCTCGTAGACCAGCTAGATCGCCTCTTTTGAAGTTCCCATTGCCATGTTTAAATTCCCAGAGCGCAGAATCTGGCGATCCGGTGTGAAAGACGTCGCTCACTAGCAGAATCAAGAATGGTCAGAAATCACCCCAATCAACGCTAACGTGCCAAAACACTCACCTTTGTGAAACCCATACATATTCAGCTGTCGAACGAACGAGGAGATATTGGTATGCTTGAAGTACGATCTAAGAGGGTCAGGGACGAGTTTATTGGGAGAGAGGATAGCACCCACGCTAGGACTTTGGAGAATTCCGACGTTGGCGACATGACGAAGCTATCGTTTGTACCGGACCAAGAGATGAGATGTTGAATGCCGGGGTCTTCTAGCATACTGTTTCCAAAAATTGTAAGCCGATGGAGATCAAAAAAGCGAAGGGCAAAAAAAAAACACATACTTGTAGAGCTTGTGAATGAAAGCAGTTTGGACGACTTTTGGCTGCTGAGCTACCGCCGTAGCGCTAATAGCCGGATTGGGAGCATTCAAAGAATTGTTTCCAGCTTCAGTGCCATTGGTGATCCCGGTCATTCGGTCGTCAGTGCCATGCGCGCCCGTAGGCGGAGGGGTGATATCCATCGAATGCTGACCAGACGACGAAAGCACAGGAATGTTTCGTGTCCTGCCGGGGGCGTCTGGTACCCCGGCAAATGAAATCCTAGTAGAAGGAGGGTCGGCAAGACGACTCATGTCGGAAAGGGTGTGGGTTTATGTATAGCACAAAATCGATGGTGGATGCGACGGGATCGTGAGGGGTGGAATTCGGACGCGATGGACCGTTTATGCTCGTGCCGAAAGAACGTGGGAGATCAACCAATAATCAACACTTCTGTCATCGCGCGGAAAGTGGGTTCTTTTCTGGGGGAAAAAAAGGATAATAATAAATGTGACAAGGGGGGAAAAGAAGAAGAAGAAGAAGAAGAAAAAGAAGAAAGTCTCGAAGTGTCTGGAAGGTTGAGAAAAAAAGGGTTTCTCTCTTTCTGCGGGGAAGGGGGCCGGAAATGCGTTGACAATCGGATCTGCAGATGTGAATTATACAGGTTTATATGAAGTACAGGGATAAAAGAAAAAGATATTATATATAACTATATATATATATATATATATATATAGTTATAGTTATATAGTTATATATATTATATATGATATTACATATATATGTGGAAAAAGGGGTCGTAGGGCTATTTACTTTTACTATCTCTCATAGCCCTACCAATTTAAGTATCAACTATAACACTATAACATATAATATATAATATATTATATATATATATATATATATATAACTTGAATTAAAGAGTCTGGATGTATTTAACTCTTCTACCGGCATTTTAAGGGGTGCATGTTGTAGCTCTACATAGTTACTATTATTATACCTTAAATTACCCCCTAATAACAACCATGACTATCATGACTATCATGATTTCACATACACACATGGCTGAGTCTAATCCTTGTCGGGGTACCGACATATTTATTCAAACAGTATTACTTGACAAGGAGCTTGTATTGACTGCAGTCGTCCACTAGTCCGCGGGTGTTCAGGTGGGTTTGACAGGGGTTACATATCCGACTAGTTGATATCGTCCATAGTCATTTCTTCAACGGATTCCCACACTTTCTTTCTACCTATCAAATAAGCCAGTTGCAATCACCATATCAGGGAGACCAGAAGGACGCCATGTCTCATCAAAGCACCAGATCCAGATTGTCTCTTCCGCGAAAAATATAACAAAGTCCCCGTTCCCCAAAGCCGAGGTGCAAAACTGCTCATATGGAAAAACCACACTGTGTGAGGACTCGAATCGACACGTTTTAGCATCGCGGACAAGGGAAGGACCTGAAAATTCAAAGCCAATGCGCAATATTGTTGTTCCTGGGAGGTGGGAGTTCTCAAAACAATAAATCAGGCCACGACCTTGGGCTGAATAGTCTAGGTTGATGTGAGGACCCCTGAAGTTCGGCTGTAGAGCGTGGAAATGCGCAATAATCCGGTCATCTGCCTCGAGTGAAAGAAAAAGTGAACCAAGCTTACCCTCATCTCGCAGAGGAGGATCATCGGTAGAATAGAATGCCCTCCTGTAATTTTCAGTCGTACAATTTCCCAGCAAAGTAGAACTTTGACCAGGATGCAGACACGCTCTGTATTTTGGTATGGTGTCTTCTGGTGTGACCCATACTTCGTCGTGTCTGAAAGGAAGCTCTTGATATTGCTCCCAGATACAGATAAACGTATTATCATGGACAAAGAACTTCCGGGTCTGCAAATGATGCGCTTCCCAGAATAAGCTAGCCCGTAGTTGAATATTGTCGCCATCTTTTCTGCGGACGCAAACGACGGAGAATCCATCCTCCTCTGCATGCAATGACAGCAAAAGAATGAGCGGCCCGATTTGGATGGAACGGGTGACTCCAGAGTTAAAGCAGAAGTGGACTACGGAATCCACGTAGCTCAGCATGACTTTAGATCCGATAGATATGTAATGACCAAATCGCAACGAAGGAATGCGGAAGGATTTGTACTGTTGGTTATGCATGTTCCAGACATGACAATACCTATCGTGTCCAGTCAGAAGTGCATTCAACACGATGAGATTGGCTTCCTGGTTACATACCCCCGAACAGAAGTTGCTGAGATCAGAGTATCCGAGACCTGGACATGAGTAAATTCTTCTCGATTTGCCGTTGTCAGGGTTCTGTTTTCGCCGGTTGGTAGGTTTACCATGTAGATAGTCGTCCGACCTGTGGATTCTTCAATCCACGCGCATACTCCATTAGAACAACTTATAGCGTCTCTGTTTGGCGCGGCGTCTATATCGGGAGACGCGTCATAAGGGACTTTCACCACGACAGCAGGCAAGCCCCTTTCCACTCGAATTCGTTTTTTAATCAACGCATTCAAATTAGCCGGGGTAAAGTCGGGCTGGATGACACTGTTTCCCATGTGATATCTGATTGTAGTGGCGACGACGATAGGTGAAGAGAGCAGTACTTGCCATCGTTTGGAGACCTTTATAATGTAAACATGTCAATAGACGTCACAAGTATCCCAATAGACGATGGCATACTCTTCGAAGGAGAACAAGATCAGCTAGGTCCAAGTACTTTACCAACATAACCACCAGTTCAAGAGGCAGTTTGCCGAGTAAGTCATATTGGAATGTCATCGTTTCGAATCGGCGTTTCACTTCTCGTATCTCATAAGGACTTAGGTTATCAAGGATTTCATTGAGCCTGTTTGTATTAGCGGGTCAGAGTCGGCTCTAAACTTTGGATGTGGGACATACGCTGCTCGCCGGCTTGAGTTGTCGCGGAGAGCCATAAAGCCTGTGAGAATAGCTTGGGTGTTTGAGTCCATATTGGATTAAATCGAAAGAGACTTTCAGAGATAAGTGAAAAGATTTTCAGAAAAACATGGGGTTCCTTCCAGGATTGCGCCTGGGCAACGGGCTGAGGTTCAAGTAAGATAGATGGTAAGGGAGTCTTGGAGGTGATCCGTGGACTTCAGTACATAAGCGACATCTGGAGCCCTGGAGGCTCAACATTCACACGTTTCTTCTTTCCTTCTTTGTTATATCCATCATGGAAGTATTATAGATTTTATTTAGGGCAGGACTATAGCAACCTCCCCCCTGCCTGAAAATGCCTGGAAATTCAGTACCGCCTTCCTAATCGGGTGCGATACTGGATTCTGCCATGCTTTCTGCCAGTGTAGAGATTTCTGCCATATAATTCTGCCACCACCATAGGAATTCTGGTTTACATACAACATAGTAAAAAAACATGCGTTTTGATCAGAAAAAAGCGTATATTTCCATTGATTTAAGCATTTGTTTGCTCATATAGGTTAAATGTGCTTCTCAACCAGGTCCCCAAGCGCGTTTCCGGCCCCTTCCACGTCTATTTCCCCTAGTCCTAGTCCCAGTCTCATCACTGTCACTGTCACTGTCACTGTCACTGTATTGCTTATTGGCAGGCGGGAGAGGCATCCGTGGCTCGGTAGGATTGGTACTTAGTAGCGTAGGTAGGGACTCGGGGACGATCTCATAGTCCGAATCAGGGTCCATATCGGACGAATCAAGGTATGCTAGGCCTAAAGAGGCATTTTGGTTGCTGGAATGACAAAAACAGGATGGAAATGATGGGGAAAAAAAGGATTAAAACTTATAGATTTGGTCGGAAAAATGGGTTGGAAGAAGGCAGGATAATGTATGTAAACAAGTGTTTGCTGCTCGAGTCGTATAAGATACATAGGACTAAAGTGACTTGTTTTTACTACGTGTTTATATACAAATTGCAGGTAGTTATCTGCTGTCGTCACATTGTGTGGGGGGAGTTTGACACGAAGGCGGTATAAAACCTGGAAGGTGGTGAGGAAGGCGGCAGGCATAAATAGGTGTCGAGGTATCTAACTACCCGATTAGGAATGGGGTGACTGATATTTCAGGCAGAGGGATCGATCTAGCCGGGGGGTTGCTGTAGTCCTGCCCTTTATTTATTATTCCCTAAGCTCTGCCAAGCTTTTCAAGAAGCTCAAAGGTCGCGAAGAGGCTTCCATATATGCCATGATCCTAGGACGCTACCCGAAGAATATACCTAGATACAGCCAAATCCAAGCTGTTATAACTTCTACATAGAGATCGGGAAGAGGAAGAGAAATGATTTTCCACTCAAAATGTATGAGAAGCAGGGTATTTATACCCTGAATCTGGCAAACCAGCCCTCAGGTCTGCAAGCATGCAAGCCTGTACAACCAGGCATCGACACCAGGCATTGACGGGATGATCGAACACAAGCCATTCCCACTTGGAGTAAGCATCTACTCTACATATAAATGAACCTTATACGGAATCCTTCACACTAAACAATGAGAGATCAATATATCATCTCTCACACATCCCGATTAGGAACTGATCTAGGTCATAGAAACACTCAAGAATACAGTGACAAAAAGAAAATAAATGACACAGGAACAGGCGCAAAAGCATCACAAAGATCTCTCTAAGATGTCACTGCGGCTGTTCGGTTCGGTTCGCTAGCCCCAGGAAAAAGGCAAATGAAAATGCTCCCTACCCTCTCTATCATTATAACGAAAAGAGTAAACACTCCTTAGATGCCGAGGGTGAACTCAACACCGACGTCGATCTCGCGGGCCATCTTGACGACCTTGGAGAACTGGACGGACTTCTCAGCGGCGTTCTGGAGGTCCTCGATGGAGAAGATCTTAAGGCCGGACTCGTTGATCTGGAAAAGTAGAGGATTCGGTTAGTTTTATGTCGTAACGAAGAAAGGAAAAATAGGGACGGTAATCATATCATACCAGCTTGTGGGCCTGCTCCATGTTGGTACCCTGCAGACGGGCGATGATGGGAGTGCGCAAGTTCATCTCCTGCACGACGTTGATCAAACCCTGGGCAATGGCGTCACAGCGAACGATACCACCGAAGATGTTAACGAAGACGGCGGACACCTTGGGGTCGCTGGTGATCAGCTCGAAGGCGCTCTTGATGGCAGCGGGGGTGGCACCACCGCCGACATCGAGGAAGTTAGCGGGGGTACCGCCGTTAAGCTTGATGATATCCATGGTGGCCATGGCGAGACCGGCACCGTTGACTAAAAGCAAGAATTAGCATTGTGAACTTTGGAAGTATCAACAGAACCCTTACCGAGGCAGCCGATGTCACCATCGAGCTTGATGAAGTTGAGACCGTGCCTAGAAAAGGTAAAAGTTAGTCAATTGTGTTTTTGAGCCGGTTTTCTTTCAAGGCAACCTACTCAGCGGCCTTGACCTCATCGGCATCCTCCTGGGAAACATCGCGCCACGAGAAAGCCTCCTTCTGACGGAACTCGGCGTTGTCATCGAATCCAAGCTTAGCGTCCATGGCCAGAACCTGGTGGTCGGAGGTCTCAGACAGGGGGTTGATCTCGAGCTGGGTAGCATCGCGCTCCATGAAGCACTTGTAGAGGTTCTGGATGGTGGACTTGGCCTCCTCGATGCACTGCTCGGAGAATCCAAGGTCGGTGGCAATAGTGCGGGCGATCTCGTCAGTCACACCGACGTGGATATCAATGGGGGTGGTCATGATAGCGTCGGGGCTCTCCTTGGCGACAGCCTCGATATCCATACCACCCTGGGAGGATGAGACGATGACGGGACCACGGGTGGTACGGTCAAGGAGGACAGCGAGGTAGAATTCACGGCGGGCGAACTTGCGCTCGCAAATGTAGACCGAGTTACAGATACGGCCGCCAGCACCGGTCTGCTTGGTAACGAGATTGTGACCGATCATCTGGCCAGCGAACATCTTGGCCTCGGTGGGACTGCAAAGATATCTATTAGCTTCATTGTTCCCGATCTGTTGTCGGATTTGTTCAACTCACGAGTAGATCACACGGACACCACCCTTGAGACCATTGTCGAACTGACCCTTACCACGGCCACCGGCGAGAACCTGGGCCTTGATAACGAGATCACCACCACCTGAAATGTAATGTTCAGCGAGCGCGTTTCAAGGGGGAAGGTCAGTAGGGTGTTCTTACCGATGGACTTGGCAATAGCCTCGGCCTCTTCGGCATTGTTGGCGACCTCACCCCTGGGGACACCGACACCGTACTAGATTGTTGATCAGCGATCCCGAGTTCCTTTTTTTTTTTTCGGGGCGACCGAAGGGTGAAACGCGGGTTCACGTACCGACTTGAGGAGCCTTGCGGAGAGGTACTCGTGAACGGAAAGGTTTCGCTTCTGCAAATTGAGTCTGCTCTGGATGGAGGGTTGCTATTGTTTATGGCCAAAGTCAGCTCAATCACATAAAACGAGACCGAATTGAATTCAGATATAACTCACTGTCGCAGCCTTGAAGGCGGCCGCAAAGGGTCTAGCGCGAGCAAGCTTGAACATGATGAATTAGGATGAGAGAGGAGAGGAGAGGGGGGATGTTGTAGAAGGGCAAAGGTATAAAAGCCCGTTTAGATAAGTTTGGTAAGGAACCGGGAGAACAGCTTTCTTTTTCACTTGTTCGGGGTGACCTTTGCATTACGGTAAAATCGGGTGCCGTAGCCAACCAGCGATCGATACGGACCTGACTCAGCATGGGATCGGGGACAACGCGAATATAACGGAACAAGGCTATTGAAGTCGGTACTTCCAGATATTTCATCTGTATATATATATCTATATATCTATATATTTATAAATATTGGATTGTAGTCCAAGTCTTGTTCTGTATTACTACAGATGTAAATAAAATTCCTTCCCTTATTTACCCAGAGCATTTTTAATCTTCCATAGTTTGAACATTTTAGTCATGACCCGACCAAACAGTCCCGACCAAGCCCAGCCACCCGACAGCATCCAGATCAACCAGCTAGCACGACCCTCCCAGATCCAGCTCTTGCGACCACGAGCCCACGGCCACAACCAGCGCCATGGAGCTGAGCCATACAACACTTGAGAAACGACACTGCGAGCATAGGTATCATTGGGCATAGCGTTGTGCTGGCTATGCTTCACACGGGTAAGATACTCGTTCTCGATAGGGGAATACAAAGAACCCGGCTGCAGAGCACGGTCAGTACGCGCAATACGCGATTGAACACCGCCGGTAACGATGGTTGTAACATGGACGCTGTTGATCCTTGTTAGAAAACATAACATAACGATCTTGAGATTTGGGAGGGCTGTATCTAACGAACCCGAATGGAGCCAACTCCACGCGAAGCGTATCACTGAATGAGTGTAGTGCTGCTTTAGAGGCGTTGTAGACAGAGCCGAATACATATGGGATGATCTAGTTATTGTCAGTAAGGTGGGATCTGCGGAGATGGAATGTATATGTATCGCAAACTTACTCCGGCGACAGATCCAATCTGCACAATAGTACCCTTCGCTTTGATAAGCAAGGGCAGGAAAGTCTGGCACATAGTAATGACCGCAAAAAGATTGGTCTCAAATGTTTGGCGAACCTCTGCGAGCTCTACTTCCATTGCAGGAACGGTGTAATCTGCAGCAATCAGTACCTATCCAAATGCGCGACAGCGAAGTCACATACTCCGACCACTATTGGATATTAGCCAGATGTACCATCCACGGATAACATTCTATACTCACGCATTATTAACAAGATAATCAAGACCTTTGTCTCCAAGTCTCTTTTCGACATCCGCAAAACACAATTTCACGTTCTCCGGGTCATCCACTGTAAGGCTCAGGGTTTCAATACCGAGGTCTGCCAGATCAGAGATGGTCGCCGCATTGCGAGCGGTGGCCAGCACGCGCAGTCCATTTCGGTTAAACTCGCGCGCAAGAGAGTTGCCAATTCCACCGGGGGAACATCTACGGTATATATCAGACGCTGTTGTTGGTATCTGTTCGAGGTTGCTTGCCACTTACCCGGTGATGAGCACCGATCTGCGAGTGTCTGTCGCTTCCGACATGTTTAAGGTTGGATATAATAGACTGAAACAAGTTTATAGATTTGGAAAAGAAAAAGGTCCACGATGTGATAGAACAGCTGGCGAGAGCAACTACAACCGCATCAACTAGACAAGTGGAGACCCAACAAATGCCTCGGTCCCCGTTTCACGGGATATAACAATGAGCCCTAAACCCTATTGCCTGTTTTGTCTTTATAGTATCAAACGTGGCTTGGGGAGATGAATCTGAATTGCACGTTAACAAATCGGAAGATAGGTTGAAGTAGATTACTCCACCTGCAATAAAGCTTAGGACTTTGCACCATCTCGAACATATTTCCGAGAATCCCGAGAATCCATGTACCTCAGTGGTCTGCACTGTCGATCCCCTCAAAGCAACCCAATGGAGACAATCGAAAACAAGCACATTGTTCAGACATGATTAATCCCCATATGTTGGCAATTTAAACTCAACCGTCCAGTGGCCCCGGATGCGTACCGATTCCCAAAGGTGAACTTAACAGGTAACACCGTCTCTTCTGTGCCTGAGAACCAGTATTTGATATTCGAGGAGCGACGATGGGATTTAACGACATTGATGCTATTAATACACCCGAAACCCTCAGCTATTTACAACGTTATAAGTACTAGAATA